TCAGTCTCCTCCAGTGCTGGGGTCACAGGCATGTGTAGTTGTGTCCTGGCTTTTTATATAGGTGCTGGGATCCTAATTCATGTTACCACTGGGCCAACTCTCCAGGCTCAAATGTCCTTTCTTCTCTCTCTTTTAAGACATAAATGTAGCCTGGTGGAAGTGCACATGTTAAAATCCTAGCACTCAGTAGGCAGAGGCAGATGGATCTCCATAAGTTTGAGACCAGGCTAGTCTACAGAGTGAGTTCCAGGACAGCCAGGACTGTTATATACAGAACACTTGTCTCAGAAAACCAACCAACCAACCAACCAAACAAACAAACAAACAAACAAAGACATGAGCGTAAAGGGGCAAGTGCATAGAAATATCTGGCATGTTGACTGTGATGCCCAGAGAAAACTGAAGCTAGTAGTTGCATTACAAATATGACCTGTGGAAATCCTCAGTGATGGCTACTGGGCCTTTGCCCTCAGTAGAGGCCTTGGAGATATTTTCCTAACCTTATTTTACTGTGCCTGTACTAAGGTCCAAGAGAGCAGGTTCTTGTGCTATCCCAGAGTTTTTCTTCATTTTCTTCCCTTCCTTTCTTCCTTCCTTCCTTCCCTCCTCCCTCCCTCCTCCCCTTCCTCCTTCCTTTCCCTCTCTCTTCCTCTTTCTCCCTATTCCTTCTTCCCTTCCCTCCTTTCTTCCTTTTTTTCTTTCTGACTTTTCATTTGTTTATTCTACTCTTACCTTGTTGTGGTGTTGGGGATGGGGCCCAGGGAGGGACTTGTGAACGCTAGGCAAGCGCCCTTCTACTTGGCTCCACTCTGCCCTGCCATGTCCCATTCTCATTAAGGAGAGCCATCGCTCTCTTTACCCCTCTCTAAAGCACACATGTTAATTATGTATAAACTGAGAGTTTTTAAATGGGCATAGAAGCAGCTTCATATGTTCATAACTTACAGAACTGATTTAACCAGTGATGGCAGAGCTGAGAAACCAAATGAGGGACAAGGAAGCAACCCCAAGAGTTCAGTGAAAGCCAGGGTGCCTCCACCTCTGGATGTGAATGTGAATTTTTAGCTTACTGGTGTGTATAGCAAGTCTTCTAGTCCTGTGGGGGATTCAAAACGTGTCAGACACATACATGCATGAGTCACGTGCTCCATGGGCTGAGGCAGGGGAATGTGATCTAACAGCTGGAAGGGCAGTGACTGAAGGAGGTCTCTGGTGCTTCCTGGGTCCCTGTGGGAACTAGCTAAAAGATACTCTCCTGATGTCATTTTGCCTAAACTTCTAGATAGCAACCTAAGTCCTGGGCCGCTTTGTGAGTGAATCTTCACATGCTTTATTCTCCTAGAAATAACCTTCTATGGAGCTGCCTTTCCTTTCAGGAAGCCAGTGAGCTATGTTTATTTAGAAACATGAGGTGGGGACGAGATAGAAGCAGATTGCTCTTCTAATAACTTCTAACTGACTGATCAGTCCTAAAAGCATTCCTGTGTGATTATCTGCTGATGTGTCTATGTGCACCACGGGCATGCCTGGTGCCTGTGGGCTCAGAAGAGAGCACTGAGCCGGTGGCACTGAAGTTATAGACGGCTGTGAGCAGTCCTGGGGCTTCTGGGAATCAACCTTGTGTTGGCTTTTGACCACTGAGCCATTTTTCTAGCTCTACTGATTAGACTTTGGACAAAGACTTTTGACAAAATATTTTTGCTTCATTTATGGTGAAAGCCAAAATAACAAGGCCATGAAGTTGTGGTGTGTGTGTCGTGCCGTCTTTTCCATGCTTCCTTCACCATGATGCCCAGTGTCACAAATGTTCTATAATTCCTTATGCTTTACCTTTAACTTGACCAGCAGCTCATACTTAAAAGGATTAGGTACAAGTCACTTGCAACTTAGAACAAATTATCTTTATGGTTGCCTAATATATATACACAATGAAACTGACCCTGACATTAGCAATGATTTGGGTGGCAAATATTAGAATTAGGTCATAAATAATGACAAAGGACAATAATGTTTATAAGTACCTGAATATAATATTTCAAAAATAGTGTTTGTATAACCAGTCTGAAAATTTAGAAGGAACTTTATAAAATTTAAAATAAAAACAAATTTTGAAAGGGCACATAGAATGAAGTCATAAGATAAAGTTTAATACATTTGATCATGTTAAAACACAAAACACAGCCAATCTAATCAAATTCAAGCATGCATTTACATAAATATATTAAATTAAGAAAAGAAATTATACACTTAAAACATCCTTTCACCTAAAAACATTAAATCCACAGATCAACAATAAAGCCAACTCTCTGCATTTACCACTTCTTCAAGATACAGTTGTTCTATTTTAAAGATAACACAAATACAATTGTTAGAATTTATATGCATTATACATATATTATATATTACACAGATAGTGTGTATACATATGTAGTGTTTGTACAGATAGATAAATATATATATATATACATGGGTGTGTGCACATGTACAGATACACACAGATGTACTGCAGGCCATCTGTACTATTTATAACTGCTGGAGTCTAAGGCTGAGCTAGTTGGATGTGAAATTCTCTTTTGCTTCTAACATGTTAACCATCCCAGTGAACATACAGCTCTGCCCTTGCAGATGCCCTCACCTTCTCTACATCATGAAATTATGAGAGGCATTTCAGCATTTATATTGCATTAATGAAGTAGAAGATCAATCAAGGAAAACTGCATACTTTTACAAATTGATTTAGTAAACCAGATTAGTTCAAACTCCAGGGGATCCTGTGCATATTAATTTTTAGGATGTTCTAGAAATCATAAATCATTCCTATACTAGTCCTGATTCTACTTCCATTTGGGTTTACTAATTGTTCCTACTGTCTGCTGCCTCTTATTAACAGAAACTCAAGGATGGATTGGTACTGAAATGTCCTATAAGATTATGGACAGACTGCTTTAATGTCAATAGCCTGAAGGACATTAGACAATTCAAAACATCAAAATATGTGAGAAGAATGGAACACAAAACCACCCCTTAACACTTAACAAAATCAATCACAGATAATCAAGGAGGACACTAGATTTTCCTATCAGAACTCTTTCATGCTTATGGTCATAATTCAATAATCTTTCATTATAATTAGACAGATTTATTTTAAATAGTAGTCTGTTGGAGTATGTCCCAGGGATTCAAGTTCCCAAAAATTCTACAGTATTTCAGTATTACACGTCCTGTTACTTCATGGTTCTTAGTGACAAGCACGTCTATACACATCTTCTGACTAGAATAAGATATGTGGGATATCTAATATCTTATAAGTCTGTCAGTTTAGTTTCTCAAAAATAATATTATGCAATAAACCCTCTGAACATGGATTCTTAATTCATTCCAGGACACTCATGCTCAGATTTTAAGATTATAGAGTAAAGAAACATCCAATGTTTATTCTGGCACAGACCATACCAAGTGTAATCATACCTTATTCATGTGAATGGAAACTACTGACTAGTTAGTTTTCAGTACAGGGAGAAATGTTCAAGACTGAATTTTTAACTGTGAAGAAAAAGCTTATATTTGGCCACTGTGAATTTTCCATCACAATATATAGTGTATATATAGTATTGAGATATAACATACATATGCTATAGAGAAAATTAAATATATACATTATATATTAGATGTTAAAATGTTATTCTTTTTACTTAAAAGATGATAGCCAAATGAAATAATATACAATATATAGGTATGTTCACTTGCCAGTAATGGATATATGTATTTTGAATCTATAAAAAAATATATATTCATAAAAGAAAACAATGACCAATCTTACTTTGTGATGTACATGGAAGACTGACTACCTTAGGATGAATGCTGAATTGGCATTTTTTTTTTTTTTTTTTGCTGTTGACCTACAAAAACAAATGATAAGTTTGGTATAAGGCTTTTTATTGATGCAAGGAGTCTATTATTTATTTGCATCTTTTCAACTGTCTGATACATGCCCTAAATAAATTGTATAGGAAAACAAAGAAAATGATGGGTGGATTTTGGCTTCATATTTAATAGAATTTAAGAAAATGCCAATCTCATAAATAAATAAATCTAAGGCTGCTAGCATTTTGGAAATGAGGCACCCAACTCCCCTTCATTTTCCCACGAGTCCTTTGCCCTCTCCCTAGAAGGCATCCTCAAGTCCATTTCAGAAGTTACTCAGGGAAGATGGCACTAAGGAAGACAGGCAGAACTTGGCTGAGAATTGTATCTGACAGGCTCCAAGAACATGTTTTCAATATCTAGATGCATCTACTCTTGGGCTTTCTATCATATTTTGTGTCACATTACTAATTGTATGTGTGGCCAATTTGTGTTGGTGTGACAAAGAAAGTCAGAGAGCAAATATATGTTTCAAATATAGAAAGAGGAACTTTCTGATTGGAATCCTTTAATACTTCCAGAAACAGTGCCACTAACTTCCTCAGGGAATAAAACTGTGTTCATTTTCTGGGCATATAAATTCAGTTGAGTTCTCTGACTTGCAGACCTCATGGCAAGGAGGATAAATTTCTGAGGTCATTATCACCAAGACACTAGTTTCCTTCCATATAGATTTGGAGCAGTTTTCTTCAAAGTGGACTCTGTAGAGATGGTTGTCACTTTGGTAGGTGATGGGAGATGTCATTCTGTAAATATGTTTCTCATACTGGTTAATGAATAAAGCATTTTTGGCCAATAGGAAAGGAATACAGGAGGGATTAGGAGACAAGGAGGAAAGAGGAAGTAGTTAGGAGGAGTCAAGATGGAGAGATGGGAGAGAACAGAACCGCCGGTCCCCGCTCTCCGGTAAGACCACGTGGAAATACATAGAAATGGGTTAATAATAAGACAGAGCTAGCCAATAAGAAACTAGTACCTGGCCAACAGCATTATATCAAATACATAGTCTCAGTGCGTTATTTGGGGCTGGCAGAAGACCAGAGGCGGATGGAAAAACCTTACTCCTTACAGGTAGGAACTAGCTAGGAGTGTCCCTCCTGTCAGCTCAAGCTGTCTACTAGGGTGACTCCCTTCATCTTTCCTGTGACTTTGCTATAAGACTGGCATAGAGCACCTACACTGGTGGATGTGTGTGCTTTTCGTCATTTCTTTCAATGACTGTAGTAGACTAGCCTGGTATGTTCTTTCTCTACTCATCTTAATGATACTGAATTTAAGCCAGCATGACTCCAGGAGTGAAAACAAAGGAAAATAAACCCAACAAAATGTATAGGTATCTGTCCCAGGGAAACCTAATGATGGGCACATGTGATGTATCTGTTTAGTGGAAACCAACACAAAATGCAGGAGAGTGGAGGAAGAAGAAATTCAAAGAGAGATATAGGAGGAGGAGCAGAGAGGGGTGAAGGAGAGCGTGGGGGAAATCTTAGGTAACATTCTAGACAGATGCTCAGAAACTAAACTGATGCACCTTCCCTTACCAACTTAAACTGGGCTTTTTTCACATGCCAAGAGAAAGTGGAGAAACTCCTAATAGATTACAATGTTCTTGGAAAAACCTCTGCTGCAGGGGCCGACCTCCCATTCAGTTATTAAAATAATGACAGAAGTAAAAGTACTAACAGTATGTCATTCTGTAGCAATTCCAAGGATAGTCAATAGGGAGGCCATGACTACTCAGAGGCATGTAAATGACAAGAAAATAGTTTTCTAGCTGGGTTTTGTAGACATGCATAGATGTTTTTGCCCACCCTTCATGAAACTTGATCAGTTAAATTGTAGAAACATCTGAGTAAAGCTTGTGAAATATTTTCCAATATCTTAAGATTCTAAGATGAAAAGATATGGATAGAAACATTTTTGTCTTCGCTGAACTTTCTTCAATGTCTCTCCTTTTCACTTTAATGATATTCTAATTTAGTTTTCATATTATTGCTTTATGTGCTTTGAGTCAGGGCAAGTTTGGCAACAATACTGGTAAGAATGCTATTTCACACTGAGCTGATACCCAAAGCTTAAGCTCTAGTATAGGTAGGGAATAATAGTAACTGTTTAGTTCTTCTTTGTCAGATATATCAGCACTCACATAAATGACATTTTTCTAGTTTAAATTGTGTGCTTTGTTAGGTGGATAGACTTTTCTTAGCTCATACTTTTTAACCAATTCCAATACATCTCTCACAAGTCATTTATGATAATCCCCAGACATAAAAATCAACTTCAAGGAATACGTCACTTGAGAAAGGGCTATTAAAGCAGCTCTGGTCTGGCCAGCTTAGTCTACATTGTTTGAGTAGAACGTCCACCAATGGAACATCTTCCCTTTAAGTGTAAAATGAAGCACTTGGGCTTTAAGACTCTGTTGGCTTTCTAGGGGTATCCTTCTTGTTTTTGCTCAAACTATGAATGGGGGTATGTGTAATAAAACTGTACGATTTGACAGATTTAGACAGCTGGCTCCTTCAGGAGACATTCACATTCTGTCAGTGTCACCCATGTTGAATAAGAGATGATTTGATAGTAAGGTCCACTTACAAAAATGGTTGTCAGGGCAGTTTTTCCTTTTTTTTTTTTTTTTTTTTTTTTTTTTAATTGTAAAACTTTCTGTGATGGAATTCAGTAAAAGGACTATGAAGAGAAAGCAATGGAGACAAAAGGTTGCTATTAACCTACAGATGCAGGGTACTGCATGGTTCATTGCAAGATTTGTCACAGTGTTGGGCCAATGAAGTGTTGGTGAGACTAGAAGGGACCACCCCTTTTCTGGGGTAAGAGGGCAATTTGGTCTCCATGCTCATTTAGTTCCAAGATTTCTTTGAATAGACTGTCAATTGAAGCTAAATTGTGCAAAATTATGCATGCACTTTTTAATGCAGGCTATTGTTCACTAAGCACTAAGATTTTTCAACCCATTTCCATTGGTATGAGGTCATTGGAAACCCAAGTAATCATATATGGAAGACAGCAGCAGTGGAGCCAACAAATTGTTCTATGTTGTAGATTCTTTAGAATTCCTTAGAATCCACAATGTAATTGCAACTCTTTCAGTTTAAAACAACAGATCATTGTTCCATAACTCAGACTCATATTCCTACGGATAAGGAGCATATGTGCAATATCAGCCAGTGCTGGGCACTTACATGATTCTACACTTTGGATTCAAGAGGGATGGATGTTACGGAGGAGGGTGAATGCTTATCATGATCAGTAGTACAAAACCCTTATGCTTTGTTAGAATGTAAATGTGGAGAGATGGCAAATGGAAAACCATTAAGAACAGTGTCTGTCAGACTCTCGTAACTTAGAGTACTTCATTTCTCTAAGAAAATCTGAACAGAGCATTTGCAGGAAATGCATTGAGGCGACAGTCAAGGGGTATTGTCACAGAGTCCTGAAGGAGCATGTGCATGGAAGTCAGTGTTGCCAAGAAGGACGGTTTTAAGAATCTGACGTTAGGCAGCTTATGCACAGCCTGAAGTGGTTGTGGATGAGCAAGCTGTTCTCCATGGAGGATGGAGTCAGAGTGCACACCTTAACCTTCTAATCCCACAGACTCGTGACAGTCTTGCTATGGTGAAAGCACTGTATATGTATGCAAGGCTGGAGTTCTGGAAGGCCTGGCTGTCCACTTGCTTTTTTCATCTGACCAGTGTGGTGGTTACATGTTGACACAAGGAAACACTGCTAGATTAGATCCAAGGCACATTAAAGGCTGCTTGCTTCCTTACTCCTCTTCTTTCCAATTAAGTTGGTGAAAATGTAACGTTAGTAATTTACAGGATAGGGTAAAGGTGTTTCATCTAGGTGATGTCTATATTATAAAAATAAAATAAAAAATATAAATATGTAACACAAACCCAGTGACTATTGTTACACAAAATATACAATAGAAGCAGTCCATTCAGGAAGATTGCTCTTTTCAAATAGGTTTCTCTGATTTAATCATAAGACATTTGAATACCATCTTGAGATCAAGCTGAAGTAACCAGATTGCTCTGTCAAATAAAAAGGTGAGTGAGTGTGCAACATTCTGTAATTAGATACAACAGAAATGCAGAGTACAATCTCACATCAAGCTGCTTGGTCAGAAATCCATCAAGGAGTTTGGAAACATGCTCTCTTATTATAGACCTTTAATATAAAAATATTTCTACCACATTGCACAACATTTCAAAACCCTACTATGCTCGACTTTAGTAATTACAGGCAGAAATTTCCCGGGAACTAAAGGAATATCTTCTGATGCCATAAAAATTCTGTAATTAATTCTCAGTGGAACTTTTGTGTGAAGTATTCCACACCAGGAAGTAGATGTTAAAAACAAAACAAAACCACCTGTTATACAACCTGGAGTCTGGGGATTGTGACTGCTCGTGTTGGACGAGTGTATGTGAACGAACAGGCCAACATACACACTGGAATCTGCACATTTCTGGAAATAGTTTTTAAATTACTAAAAGAAAATGAGATCACAGGAGTGTGTAACGGGAGGATAGTCTCTTTTTTTTTAATGACAAGATCAAAGTAAATGCCCACCAGGAAGGACTAGTTAACGGTCCCAGAGACTATACAATATAACTTGTGAGATCCAGCAAATAAGATGCCATGTCAATGATGTCATCCAGAATACCTGCCCTGGCCACTCTGCGTAAACTTCTGTCCATGTGCTCACACTGTGGACCAAGGTAGCCTTTCTTACAGAGGCACTTGTTTGGTCTGATGCAAACTCCTCCATGACGACATGCTGGCTCACATTTGGCTGCAAGACATAAATCATGGTATTATTCTCTCTTTTTTTAATCTTTTATATAAAAAAGATTTATTTATTATGTATACAGTGTTCTGTCTACTTGTATGCCTAGACCAGTAGAGGGAATCAGATCTCATTATAGATAGTTGTATACCATGGTGTTTTTGCTGGGAATTGAACTCAGGACCTCTGGAAGAGTGGCCAGTGCTCTTAACCTCTGAGCCATCTCTCCAGCCCCATGTATTATTCTTAAACTTCACATCAGAAGCCATGCCATGTATGAGACTAAGTATTTGATGAATAAGGAAAGGTAGAAAAAGAAGGCAGAAAACAGTCACAAACTGACTGGGCAGAGCAATACACATGCAGGACAGTTTCCAGACATGAAGATTTTGGGGGCAGGAACTGAGCTTGTCAGCACATGGAGAAGCAGGGCTCATGATAAACTATCCAGTCATTTGTAGAACTGGCACTAACCCATTACACCAGCCCTTTCAACTACTGTTCCACAAGGCATTTCAACTAACAGCAATTCTATTCCTTCAGGGTAGGACCTCACAGGAGAGAGACTGGTCTCGAGAAAGGGGTGACCGGCTGGAGCAGTTCCAATGTGACATTGAAATAAGGTCAGCTTGGGACTGGAGTTGCATGCAATATACAACATCTGGTCTCCCTGGCATCCTTGCTTCTCCATGCTAAGATGGGAGATGCACAGAATATATTGATCTCTGATTATGCCTGAAGTCCCATCCTGGGCTCAGTGCAGAGACTGACAAAGGACATTCTGGGCAATGCTCTTTAGGGCTGCTTACAGCATTGAGTCTCTTAATTAAATCATTTGTCGCCTATGCTATAGAAAGAGAATGTGAAGATTACTTCAATGGTGGTATGGAAAGACACAGTTTGGTCTATTCATTAGTTGTCACTTATTGATAAATCTGGTGGTAAAGCCACTGCAGACAAAACAAAATTCTTTGAATACATTTCCTCGTTAGGATCACAGTCATCTTTCAGACACAGTATTCAAGATTCATGGTCCTAGGACTGAGCCATGGGAAAGAAAGTATAAATAAAAGTGAAAGCACTCCATCTTTCAAACTTACAGAAGATGTGTGAACCACATGGGTGTATAACATTCTTCAATGAAGACATCCCAGATTACTCTTATAAAGTGTTTTGCTTTTTACTTAGTTATTGAAAGTATTTAAATTTAATCAGGAGAAATCTTAGTTGAAAGATTTTATAGAAACAAAACAAATGTTAACCAAAATTACCATGCTTCTCTTATTGTAAATAGTATCTGTTAAGACACTGTATAACACATAAGTATTGAAAATGATTTGTTCACCTTTGGTGTAAGTTTGCTGTCCAGAGGAGGTACTCAGAAAATATTTTTTTTAACTTATGTATGTTTGTGGAGACACAGAAGTTAGGTAAAGTGCAAAGACTTTAACAGAATTAGTTGCTATGTAAAGAGACAAGGAATTAGGAGGAACATGTATTATCCAACACTAAAAGGAGTAGAGAAACAATACCCAGGTATATGACTATACTATTACATTTATATGTTGATTCTTTGTTTTGCGCTCAACTGACTAAGAGGGGGATGGAATGGTCAATAGAGTGTGCCTCCTTGTCTGAATAACTACCTAGATTCTGCAGAATTGTAATTATGTATCTCTCACATAGATCTGTAACTCTAACTCTAATCAGATGTTAACAATGTTACTAAATGGCAAAGCAATTTAAGCTTAAAATATGTACTGTTTATATGTTGGTTGTTTTGTTAGGCAATATGCATACCAGACAAGTCATGGTTATAATATATTTTTAAAACAGATTTATCTTTAGAATAAAAGACAGGATTATTTATGATCCAAGAGAAATATTAATTTTGATTTTTATTGGCAGGGTATACTTTAATGTGTGATACAGTAGAGATCAAAACTACCATGCACACTCCTTGTTGAATTTGTATTTCAAGTTCAATCTTAAACTCTTAAGTTTCTAAAGTCATTCATTTTCATTTTTATTTATTTATGAGTGCTCTGTCCTTCTGTATGCCTGCAGGACAGAAGAGGACGTCAGATCCAGTCACAGATGACTCTGAGTCAACATACTATTGCTGGGAATTGAACTCAGGACCTCTGGAAGAACAGCCAGTGCTCTTAACTGCTGAGCCATCTCTCCAGCCCTAATTCATTTTTCTTAACTTCACACCAATTAAAATTTAACATAGCAGGAAACTCACAAGATGGCTTTACTCTCTTCCAGCAGCTGCTCACTTCACAATGGGTTACCAGGGAGTGGAGTAGACTAGAAAAGTCTCATAATACGCATCTAGATAATTGTATTTTTCCCCTTTTAGTTAGTAACATGCTCTGAAAATCTCTACTCCTAGTGTACCACAGCAAAATGCAAGTGATAATCCAGAGAGGGCATCGATGCCGTGGCTGGTAAAGGCTGGCACTTGGCCAGGGCTTTGGGAAACACCAAATTTTTGGTGGGTATGAGCGCTCCAAAGGTAGGACTTTGGTGTTCTGTTTTCATTTTTTTTTCTACCTTTTGAAAAGATTCGATCATTTAGAGATCTTGTATGCTCATGATTAACTTGAGTATGTGAACGACCTACATTAAATCGAGAAGGATTCCATTTGTAACTCCAGAAAGAGAAATTGTAAAGCATTAGCCTCTTGCATACCAAATGGGTCTAGAAACAGGTGACACTAGTTTCTCAAACCCAAGGGCCATTTACAGTGTTCCAGGTGACAACAGAAATACTAACCAGTTCTGCAGAAGTCTCCCTCCCAGCCTGGACTGCAGCAGCACTTGCCCGTGGGGGTGTAGTAGCCATTCCGACAGAGCCGGGAGTAATCCGAGGTCAGGGTCTGTGCGGGTTGAACTGTGACTCTACATTCCTCAGGCATTAAAGGTCTGCACCCCAAAACAAGAATTGACATTGTACATCAGATCTTTTTTACAAGTGACACGGTCAACTCACAACTTCAGAAGAGCATAAGAACACACTGGTAATGGAAAATAGCCTAAGAAACTTTACTTCATCAAAAGTCTCCATAAAAAGAACAAGAAAAATATGGCTCTTTTGTACTTGTTAGCTAGAATTCTAGAAACTGTAATTTTAAATATTTAAAATTTTCACTTGATGGTATGTGTTTGCATGTGTGTGTGTGTATGCATGTGTGTGGCTGTGCCATGGTTCATGCGTGGAGATCAGAGGTCAGCCCTGTGATGTCAGCTTTCTCCTTTCACCTTCCCATGGGTTCTGGGGATGACACTCACACCATTAGGCTTGCTCAGTGAGGGCTTTACACACTGAGGCTTCTTGCCAGCCCTCAAACTGAAATTTTAAAAGTAGAAGGGCATGTATATTTTGAAGCTTCCTTCCACCCAGATACACAAACACTTTTAGGGATAGTGCCCCATTTTCCTCTTGTGCTTGACCTAGCTGGCGATACCACAGGGCCAGTTACATTTGTCACAGTGATCACTGGCTGACTAACAAACATGGGAATGAATCCCTTCTGTTCTGCTCTCTTCTTTCTTTTTTAATGGTTCTTGGGGGTCAGACCCAGGGCTTTGAACACATTAGGCTTGTGCTATGTATGCTGCTAAGCTATGTGGTTGCCCTTCTTTCTACTCCCCCAAAACCTTGTCGGTTGGAGGAGGGCCTCCCTAGGAAATATCTCTCTCTTTCTCTGTCTGTCTGTCTGTCTGCCTGGTGATATATTGTTTATGATCTAATATAGCAACTGATCTATATCCTTCCCCTTTGTAGCCTTCTTCTTTTTGTATTAGCCAAAAAGGGGGAATGATATATTACTTCTGATTTAATAAAGCAACTAAAGATCAAAATGCAAAACTAGCCACAGCCATTGTGGTGGTACACACCTTTATTCCAGCAGCCATTCTAGCAAGCCATAGAGGCCAGGCAGTGGTTGATCATAGCTTTAATCCCAGGACTCAGGAAGTAGAGACAGACTGCCCTCTGTGAGTTCAAAGCCCCCCAGGGTTACATTAGAGTGAATCAGTTGAAAAGAGAAAACAGCTCAAGCAAAAGTGTTCTCAGCACTGGGGATTCTATGCCTTTAATCCCAGCTCTAAAGAGGTATATAGGATAGGAGTGGGGCATTCGGTATTCAGTCTCAGAGATTGGTTCTGCAGCCACGCTAAGGACAGGATAGCCCTTTCAGTCTGAGGTAGAGGAGACCTAGTGGCTGGCTGCTTTGCTTTTCTCATCTTCAGCTGCTTTGTTTGATTACAAACAATGTGTAAACACATGTCTATCTCTCTCTCTCTCTTTCTCTCTCTCTCTCTCTCTCTCTCTCTGTGTCTCTCCTTTCAGGGCAGGGCCTTCCTATCTCTCTGTCTCCTTCTGTCTTGCCTTTTGGGGGGAGGGTATCACTGTGTAGCCCAGGATGGCCTCAGATGGGTTTTGTAGATTGGACTTGAACTGGAAAGTTTCTTGTATAACCTCTCACTTACCAGGATTAAGTAGTGTGCCACTGCACCCAGATCATTTTATTTTGAGATAAATGTAAATTGATCTGTGTGCAGGTGAATATTTATGCTGCCAAATAAAAATTGAAACTGTTAATGCAAAGAAAGACATGTATAGAATGGAGACTTTATGAATTATATAAAGTCAAAATATTTTATTATTATGTATAACTTAATTAGCTCCTGTATGAAGAGAAAGAATGTTAATAATAGCAGTCACAAACATATCATTTGCAATGTGAAACTTCATGCATTTTGTATTAATTATTCTATGCCATTGTCATTTATAGAGAAAACTAAGCCATCAAAGGCTTTTTTTTGTTTATTTTTTTTTTTTTTTTAATGATTCTGCATTTTTAATACTGCTATTCAAACATGATCAAGCTGGCACCAGAATTCCAAATGTTCCTGACCTAATATTTAGGGGGAAGTATTCAGTGTTCCTTTCCTGGAGTGTCCTATCCTCACTGGTCTCCATGTTACCACAAGGTGGGAAGGACCTTCCAGCAGAATACAAACAAACATTATTAGTCTGTCACGTGCTTCCAAAGTCTAGGTTTAACCACAAAAACTAAGTTACAGGGATTACTTAGATAGAAAAAGAATTAAGCCTTGGGTTTTTTGTTTGTTTTTGTTTTTTGTTTTTGAGATAAGGATTCTCTGTGTAGTGTCAGCTGTCCAGAAATTCACTCTGAGATCAAGCTGGCCTCAAACTTAGACATCTGCCTGCCTCTGCCTCTGGAGGGTTGGGATTAAAGGTGTGCACCACCACTGCCCAGTGAGAGTCTGTTTTCTTAAGACTAGTTATGTCCTCCTGCCAGCAAGACCAGTGATCAAATTTAGGAGTCTTCTGCAATGATCTAAAATCATGTGTTAAAATCTCAAATACTAAAGATGTATAGGAACTTCTATATCTCCCCTCATCAATGAAAGTCCTACTAGGCTAGGGTTAAACACCCAAAGTTCTCTCTGTTTCTTTCTTGTACAACAGTCTTACTTTATTTGTATGACAGTGGCATTTCTGATCACCTACAAAGCCAGTTTCAGGAGCCTTGACACTCACTATTAAACAGAATGTGTTATATACACTAAATGTAACTTTTTCAAATAAAGTCTATGAAGACAAACATTGCTCTCTTTGTGTCTCATAGGGACATAGAGGAATGTGTAGCCCATGGAAATGCTTAATGAAATCTGATAGGGGATGTCCTTCTATATATATGTTTCTCATATTGGTTGATGAATAAAATGCTAATTGGCCAGTAGCCAGGCAAGAAGGATAGATGGGATTACCAGAAAAGGATACTTCTGGGGAGAGGAAGGCAGAGAAAAGTGACCAGGGGGATGCCATATAGCTGCTAAAGGAGCAACATGCCAGATTATGGGTAAGCCACAGCCTTGATTAATAGATTAATAGAAATGGGTTAATAATTAAGAGAGAGCTAGTCAGTAAGAGACCTGAGCCATTGGTCAAACAGTTTATAAACAATATAAGTCTCTGCATGTTTATTTGGAGCTAAATGGCTGTGGGACCAGAACTTCCATCTACAGAAATCTGGATAAGATTAGTAACTGGGTGTTTAAAACCTTTTCCTATGTTCCTATGCTATTGAGTAGAACTATTAGAATATGGCTATGAAGGAACAATAAATTATATATATATATATATATATATATATATATATATATATGTGTGTGTGTGTGTGTGTGTGTTGTATGTGTGTGTGTTATATGTGTGTGCGTGTGCCATGGTTCATGCGTGGAGATCAGAGGTCAGCCCTGTGATGTCAGCTTTCTCCTTTCACCTTCCCATGGGTTCTGGGGATGACACTCACACCATTAGGGCTTGCTCAGTGAGGGCTTTACACACTGAGGCTTCTTGCCAGCCCTCAAACTGAAATTTTAAAAGTAGAAGGGCATGTATATTTTGAAGCTTCCTTCCACCCAGATACACAAACACTTTTAGGGATAGTGCCCCATTTTCCTCTTGTGCTTGACCTAGCTGGCGATACCACAGGGCCAGTTACATTTGTCACAGTGATCACTGGCTGACTAACAAACATGGGAATGAATCCCTTCTGTTCTGCTCTCTTCTTTCTTTTTTAATGGTTCTTGGGGGTCAGACCCAGGGCTTTGAACACATTAGGCTTGTGCTATGTATGCTGCTAAGCTATGTGGTTGCCCTTCTTTCTACTCCCCCAAAACCTTGTCGGTTGGAGGAGGGCCTCCTAGGAAATATCTCTCTCTTTCTCTGTCTGTCTGTCTGTCTGCCTGGTGATATATTGTTTATGATCTAATATAGCAACTGATCTATATCCTTCCCCTTTGTAGCCTTCTTCTTTTTGTATTAGCCAAAAAGGGGGAATGATATATTACTTCTGATTTAATAAAGCAACTAAAGATCAAAATGCAAAACTAGCCACAGCCATTGTGGTGGTACACACCTTTATTCCAGCAGCCATTCTAGCAAGCCATAGAGGCCAGGCAGTGGTTGATCATAGCTTTAATCCCAGGACTCAGGAAGTAGAGACAGACTGCCCTCTGTGAGTTCAAAGCCCCCCAGGGTTACATTAGAGTGAATCAGTTGAAAAGAGAAAACAGCTCAAGCAAAAGTGTTCTCAGCACTGGGGATTCTATGCCTTTAATCCCAGCTCTAAAGAGGTATATAGGATAGGAGTGGGGCATTCGGTATTCAGTCTCAGAGATTGGTTCTGCAGCCACGCTAAGGACAGGATAGCCCTTTCAGTCTGAGGTAGAGGAGACCTAGTGGCTGGCTGCTTTGCTTTTCTCATCTTCAGCTGCTTTGTTTGATTACAAACAATGTGTAAACACATGTCTATCTCTCTCTCTCTCTTTCTCTCTCTCTCTCTCTCTCTCTCTCTGTGTCTCTCCTTTCAGGGCAGGGCCTTCCTATCTCTCTGTCTCCTTCTGTCTTGCCTTTTGGGGGAGGGTATCACTGTGTAGCCCAGGATGGCCTCAGATGGGTTTTGTAGATTGGACTTGAACTGGAAAGTTTCTTGTATAACCTCTCACTTACCAGGATTAAGTAGTGTGCCACTGCACCCAGATCATTTTATTTTGAGATAAATGTAAATTGATCTGTGTGCAGGTGAATATTTATGCTGCCAAATAAAAATTGAAACTGTTAATGCAAAGAAAGACATGTATAGAATGGAGACTTTATGAATTATATAAAGTCAAAATATTTTATTATTATGTATAACTTAATTAGCTCCTGTATGAAGAGAAAGAATGTTAATAATAGCAGTCACAAACATATCATTTGCAATGTGAAACTTCATGCATTTTGTATTAATTATTCTATGCCATTGTCATTTATAGAGAAAACTAAGCCATCAAAGGCTTTTTTTTGTTTATTTTTTTTGTTTTTTTTAATGATTCTGCATTTTTAATAC